ACTTCACTAGATGCAGTTCAGAGATGGGCGAGATGATTAAAAAAATTTTAAAAAACAACCTTCAAAAACTTCAGAAAAACATTGTAATGAGACTGATATTTGACCACTGCGTCTATTACAAGTTCTTTATTTGAATAAATTTAAAGATATATTCCAGTAAGTAACTTTTTGAGATGCCACTATACAGCTAATAGTATAGTAATCTACGTTTAAAATTGATAAATGATTCGAACATAAGTATATCTTATTTCATCAACTCATGTAGGAATTTATTGCACCTTTTTTTTCTCCAATATTCTGTATGTTTTTATGAAAACGAATGTTTTCTTTTGCATTGGAGCACGTTCTATCTTACGCATGATTACCCGATGTTGTTAGAAGTGATTAATCGTTCCTAAAATGGACTTTTTCTCGCTTATTAATGCATTTCAAGAAAGGCTGATACGCAGAATGTTGCAGAAATTCCACTTGTTAAACGAGTGAAGTGTCACATTAAATCACTTTTGGTACACTGGTGCTAAAATATTATCGATACAAGGCACTTATAACTACTCAGATTCTGAAACACTCGAATTACTGTACGTCAAGGTATTGCTTCTTTCTGTTCAAACTTCTATAGAAGATAACTTCACGCTTAAATTAAACAACGTAATAGTATCAATCCGTCGAAAGGATCGATGCTGACGCTCTTTAGTGCATTAATTTACACTCTGTTTTCTCTCCTATTATTCTAATTACACAGCTGTGTTCAGCAACAGTAACTATGGATAAAAAAGCTATCTATGGATTTAAAAACTGTATCATTTCTGAAAAATAATTCAAAAAGATTCATTTCTCAGTCGGGAGGGCGGAAAAGGTTTGTAAGCTTAAAAATTTTTTTAATCATCTCGCCCATCTCTGAACTGCATCTAGTGAAGTATAAAGCAATATCTTTACAGCGAAAACTATTTTACTATCAAGCAAATGAGCAAACATACTCTTCTAAAATTTTTTGGCAAAAAATAGTTTTTATTAAATCTTTTTATCGAATAGATAGAACAATAGAATGTTAAATCTAATAAAAAAGAAAATGTTTCTGGCTCCTTTTTCTACCCCTCATAAGACATATCATGGTCCGATGTATAAGACTTTGTGTGGAAGTTGTGCATTTCTTGCATAAGCAACTTCAAATTATTTTTTATCGGAACAAGTTACATCTTAAAATCCCGAGAAAAGTATCCAAAAATGACTTGAGCAAATGCTGAATTTGTCTTAATTAGATGACTGATCTTATCATGATTACAATGAAATATGTCTTCAATGCGTTAATTTATTTTTACATTATACAAATTATATATATTTATTATAAAAAAAAAACAGAAAAGAAAGTCAAACCCTTGCTGATCGTATTGGTACAATTATTTGACTTTTATTTATATTCGAATTAGATATAAGTTTTGAAGAACAATTATCGTTTATTTTTGTTTTCATATAAGAACTATCTAATGTCACCGGAAAAATTTCTTGCATAATTGTATGATGAACAACCAATGTACTTAAATTATTAAACATTTTTGTTGTACCCTAAAGCAAGTAATAATAATGTTTAAGAGATTAATATAAGTTTATTTATATATACATACCTTTATTCGATATCCATCGTCTATATTTTCAATTAAATAATGTTCAATCGATGGTTTTTCTATTGATGGTACTCTTAATGATAATGCATATGATTGATTATGTGTATAACTTTTTCTAATAACAAATGCACCCGGTTCAAATAAACGTAAATATTCTTCACATATATCACGAGATAAACCTTCTTGAAACCATGGTGCTTTTGATAGTAATTCACGATCACTAAAAACATAAAAAAATAAATTAGGTCAAGTATAAAATTAATTTTTTTTTTCCATTCTATATTTAACAATAAATACTATCAAATTTCGTTTTAGATAGAAATGAACGAATGTGCATGCATCAGACAAATGTAAATTGTTGTGAAAAGAACAGAGGCTAATACGTAAAAAGAGAAGAAAAGAACGTCTAGAAAAAGGATGGCACGATTCGTTAAAACACGTGTTAGACCAATACATAGTTTTAATACATCATAATCCTTTGAGAGTATTATAAAAAAGGTTTATGTTCATAAGATAAGAAGTAGGAAGAATTTGATAAGATATCTAGTGATGATTTCAAATCAAGTTGTGAAATGGTTCCGGAAGACAAACTAAATACTTCTTAATAGAATAGTATAAAAGAGTGAGAGAGAGAGAGAGAGAGAGAGATAGCTCATGATAAGCAAATAAATTTATGAAATTAAATGTGAACAAAAAGGATGTAGAAAAAAATTATATATGATTATTCATTCTCAATTATCTGTACGATCATATTTTCATGCCAGATGCTTTGTTTGTATGTTTTTTTCTTTATCTAGTACATCTGAACGATTCACACTGTCCACCCACCCATCTTTTTATGAATGAATGAAAAATATACTAACGCGGTTAATGAACTGAACTAGAAATATAATTAGACTACACACAACATGTGAAAAATCAGGATATGCTATATATTATACGTTTGAAAAATGATGCAGAACGGATATTTAATCATGTGTTCATAGAATGAAAATAAAACTATTTTGATTTATCATCAGTATGTTCAGTTTCGATCAGACATCGTCATTCTATTCATTTTTATTCATTATATAGTAAACAAATAAAATGATCTTAATTTTAAATCCACTTGATAATCACTGTTAATCGTATCTGATTTTAAAAATCTGTACAAATTCTTTATACGTCATTCTTCGAACTCATCTCTTTTCTCTCGTCTTATGTGTGAGCCGAAATTTTTTCCTGTGTATTGAATCATGGAATATAAACAAGATTGTATATATAAGACGTGTAGACTAATTAATCTTACTCTCAACTATAGGCAACTAAAACAGAAGTTATTTGCTCATATTTCCACTTGACATAGAAAAATAGAAATACAATAATAATCTTCAGGCTATAGTCTTCATTTGACGGCATGTCTAACGATTACATTTTACTAGAATTGGTTATTTTTTTTTGTCTTGTAGGTGAGAACACGTGAGCAATAGTCTCATAAAATAGAACGTTCTCGAGTGGCACTTTTCTATTTCACTATATCAGAACAAGAAAATGTAATGTTGATAAGGTTCTTATTGGCATATTAAAGAGGAAGCAATTGGAGTGTATACTTTGACAATATGCTGTATAAATGTTAAAGACAATATGTTTGTCTTAAAAATGAACAATGCAAATAAAATCAAAAATATCCGTCAATACGGATGGATCACTGCAGTCTAATCAATGATGTACACTTTTAATCTAATTTCATGATGCAAAAGAAAAGTACTTCTAGTTTCATTATACGTGTATGTTATATATAAACGAATGTTTAGAGTGAAAACTGCGAATAAACTTTTTTCCGATATCGATCACTTTGTTTTCTTGTTGTATACAACTAAAATATCCCAAAGCAAAAACTTACTCAATACGTTTTGATCTTTGTGTGACAGGTTGACGATTAATTATCATTGGATCAACATTATGATTTGTAGTTATATATGAACAATGAGAAGACTGAAAAGTATCTTCGGAATCAACCGAAAATGATTTTAGTGATGATAACGATGAAGTTGTATTATTTGATAAATCGCTTAATTTTTTTCGAAATTGTTGTTGTTGTTCTTCTAAATTCCATACACTTTCATAAACTACACTTTCTGAATTATCCTCACATTCATCATAAAAACATTCGTTTGAATTTGCTTGTAATGATGTTGTTGTCATTGAATTACGTGCCTGATTCCGATATAATTTATTTAATTTGAAAAAGTTTTTTGTTGTTTTTGATGGTCGTTTTTGCTCTACTAAATGTGTTTGTGAACAAGTTAAATGTTGTCGTGATCCTTTTTTTGATAAATGTAAACAATTTAATTTCGATGAGCTGGATGTCGATGATATTTCGTCAAGATCTTCATAATCGGAAATCATTGAAGAGATACCAGAGGAAGATAACGAACTAATACATTGTTCAGACGATTCCGAGAAGGTTTTGTTCCATAGTGGAATATCAGACAGTCGACTTTTATATGCAATTAGATTAACAGGCGTCGACTGCGGGGAAGAATGATCAAAACGAAATGAATGTGTTGTTAGAAATCCATCCATCATCTTAAAAAAAGACATAAAACAACGAAGTCAGATTAGAAGTCTCAAAAAGATGCTTTCATTCGATAGAATTAGATAATTTCGTCCCAACAAGATCTTTTTTACAAGACATACTTGTACATCTCTAGAAACCTTAATTAAATTAAAAATTGAAGTATTATCAATAAACTTACGTTATTTGTTGTTGATCATATGCAAATTAATCAATAACTAACTTATCTTTCTTTCACTCTCTATGTATATATATATATGTGTAATCAGAAAGTGTTACAGAACCACCTATCTACGCGTTAAATTTTTCCACTATTGATCATCTTGTTTTCAAACTAATCTTTTATCTTTTTTTCACTTCTTTTAAAATAATTAAATTGATCAAATAATATCGTCACCTATACCCGAAAATGATGTACAAAGAAATAATTTAATTTTGCACCAACCGTTCAAAAATATGAGAACAGTTGTCTCACACTGTTTTCTTTTTCTTCGCAATAAATCTCTCTCTCTCTCTATAGTTATATGTATCTAACAAGTGGATATAGAGAACGAATGAAGAAAAGAAGAAAAAAAAGTCTGCTGATTGTACTCATTGATGGCATAAACAGATAGGATGTAGCGTGTCAAACAAGGAAAAAAATGATTTGTTTGAACCTGTTGTGCGATCTCTATCATACAGATATCTCTAAATCTAAACAACTAAAGGGATGATCGCGTGGATAGAGAATCGCCTTCTTTGTTCAAAGTTAAAAAAAAAATGATTGATCGATAGAAATTGGAATACAAACTTGATAATTGATCACTATACTCTAGTTCAAATTCCATACCCTTTGTTTTTATTTTCATTTTACTTGCCGATGTATTAGAAAAAAGTTTGAATATCAAAAAAAAATGTATAGTAAGAGATAATTGTAAAAATGATGTAATATCTTTTTGTACTTCATTCCTTTTTTCACTATTTTTTAAAAGATATACTTGAAAATGACACGAGCAATTTAAGATGGTTTGGTGTGCATATGTATTGACACTTGCCCTATGATTAAAATGAAAATATGTTCAAAATGAAAGATAAATTTAAACATGATAATGTTTGTATACATTTGGACAGCTGACGTTTATTCACATACGATCGTAGTTTATCATATCATTTGAGAAGATTGAATGCATACGCAAGCAAAATGACCGTGGGGAAATGAGACAAAGCGTGCTGTTATCTTATATAGAAGCGTATTCGTTTAACCAATAATCTTTAATATTTTTTCATTGAACATTTGATAGTTACACATATATTTCACACTCACTCTTCATACATTTCCAAAATATGGATTTCGAAAGAATAGATATAGAAATCGGTTTCTTCTAGTCTAACTTATTAACTAACTAAATTGCTTTGGGATAAAAGAAAAATTGCAATCTTATCGAATTTTATACATTTAGTAGAATACAAATTGACATAAATTCAAGTAACAGATGTAAAGCAATTATGACTTATTTCTCATGCCGGTCAACAACTATAAACAGGATGAATAAATTCTTTTAATTTTATCTTTACTCATCAGACGCACATATCTACTTCTTTGCTTCTTTTCTTCTTTTTTTTTTCTATTTTTATTTTTTTCTTGTAAAAAAACCGCAAGCTATAGATATGAAAAGGGAAATGAAAAATACTGGACAGATGAATTTATAATATATTTAGAGTTCACTTGTCTGTCATGATGAGTTTAAAGAAAAGAATAGGCAAGAAAATATTTCTTGTACGAATGCGGATGTGTTTGGAGTAATTTGAACCATTAGTATGTAAGCTGAAATCTAAGATAAAATGATGTTAGATTACCTCTACTCCTTTTTTTTCTTAGAATGATTGTATGTATGTTGGATGAATTTGAATAGATTAATTTGCAATAAACATATTAGTAAAGGGTGTAATTACATGTTTCAACAGGAAATAATCATCATATGTTATTCCAGTGGCATGTACAAACACAAAAAAAGTAGAATAGAAACTCATCGCTCATTATTATCTCTCCCAAAAGACTCTTGTTTATGACCAAACTTTGAATAAAAAGAAACTGTTACGTAAGGAAAAATGATCAATTATCATCTATGAGAAAAATGTGATAAACAAGATATGAAAAAAATCACGTAAAAAATTTATCGACATTTTTAAAAGTCATCTTATATTTTTTGTCAAATTATCCCTTAGAATCTCTGCTTCGGAAACTAGTTTGCAATAACAATAGTTCATTTGTCTAATATTTGTTCGATTTCATAAAACAATTACATTTAAAAATGAACAATGGCAAATCAGATAGCAACCAACCAAGAATATCGATCGTTTCTAAATTCGGATGAGGACACAACGATGATTATTATATAAACTGAAAAAAATTAAAAAACTTTGTTTTCTTTTGTGCATCATCGCTACTTATAAATAGATCAACAATATTCTATAAAGTCTGACTGCACTTCATATATTTATGACGTAATATATCAATAAGTTGAGCTATTTGAAACTTATCATTGTAATTAAATTTTTCACATACATTTTCGTAGAGAGCTTCATACTCTATGTATTCTAAAGTTTAAGCGTTACAAAATATATTCCGGTGGGTGATTAATCCTCTATTCGGTTCTTTATGTCGATATAGCTATAACATGGCATAATTTAGAATTGTTTTATATGTAACTGCCTTGCTCTGTAATTGCATAAACATATAAAGTGTAAAAGCATTTTTGTCTTCACAAATGACGAGGCGATAGACATAGAGGAATGTTTCTATATTTTAGAATGCAATAGCATTTTCAACTAAATTTTATCTTTCTAGCCTTTCTCTGAACTATTTTATAAGATCATTTTTGTAGTAAAACTCATTATCATTGAAAATTCGAGACTATTGGCTATAGTTGATTTAAAACCATTATAAAAAAGCTGTAAAAATTGTAACGGAAGGCCTTTTCGTGGTGGTAAGATTTGTCTGAAACTATTTTTTCTCACAGAAAATTTACTGCTCGCTTAAAGTATTCTCCTATATTACAAAAAAAGAAATTATTAGTGGTATTTCAATTTGTATTAAAATCTTGTCGACGAAATGCTAAGCACTATTAAGCCAAAAGCTATCGAGGCGCAAATATGAAGCCGAAAATGATCAAAATTTTATCAAGAATCAATTGAACAATCTGGGTGCTGGGATGAATTTTCTTCAACCAATGAAAACCGTCAGCAAGCAGAAGTTTTGGGAATATCTTATTTATTATCGACGCAACAGGCTTCGGAGGCATAACAATATCAACATGCTCACATTTTCCACATGAAGAAGTCCTACTTCCTTCCGGAACATCGTTCACATTACCGATGTTACATATGACAGTCGAACCAACAAAAATCACATGTTCCCTATCAGTAATATTTCCACTCAGGTCAAACGTCATCCGGGTTCCTTTCCCATGTAGAGAATATATGTATTGAAGTTTTATTTATGAATAAAAGATACAAAAAGTTATCTAAGATAACATGTTAACTTTTTGCATTTAAAAACAGATCAACAAGGACAAAAAAATATTGTTAGTCTATGTTCAGTATTGAATGTTCAACAAAATTTTGCGTTTTCAACAACAATACCATTTTCATTTGTAATGAGACGCAAACGATTTTCTACATGATCACTGGTTGACGATGTGCCTTTTGTATATATCCTGATACCAGAAATGCACCTTTAACAACACAGAAGATAAAGGTGATAAATAGGTTAAATTTGAGATGCAGTAATTACCAGCTTCTTTTAGTACTTTAGTTGCAACATCACTCGGCTTTCCAGTTAATTCTGGCCAACTTGTCTTTAATGTGTTGATAAGGATCCAGCAGAGGTGTAACCGGTATCAACAATGCGATACCGGTACGGGTCACCGGTATACAAACTTCGTACCGGTACCGGCTTGTCTTGGTCATATTTTGCCTAAATACAGATACTTTTTCCTTGTTTTTCTTTACTGTGAACTTTATTTTATGTTATCAAAGGGATAGATTAATCTTTTCCCTTTGATTATGTATAGCTGATATTTCACACGCTTTTTTTTACGAAAACAGCAATCCAATTCAATCTTTTAAATTAAGAAGTTTATATAAGCCGACAAAGTTTAAGTAATTGGAATGAAATATTAGTGGAAGAAATATGTGACAGACGAACTAAATTTACACGATGTTTTTCGAAAAAAATCGTATCATACCGCAAAATACCAGCAATATCGGCCGACTGATTATACTTCATACTAATGCCGGTATACCGGTCGACGTTATAATTCGTATCGGTACCGGTTGTACCTCTGGTATACAGTAAACAGAAGATTAACTAATCAACCGCTGATGAATGATCCGGAAACAATGGAAAAAATGTGATTTTTTCAAAAACGATTGGAAACGCAGAAAAACACTGGGTTTTTTTTAGTATTCGAGTATCCGTTTAACCTCTGCTGGAGGAAAATGTATTGATCTTCGTTTTACTTTTTGTTGTATTTAGTTTACCACAAGTTTTTGTTTAACGGAGTGAATGTGAACAAGACATAGACTTCCCGTACACGAAAATCAATAGGAAAAATCAGTCGAAAGTACGGATCACACAGACTCGTTTTCAAGCAGAAAAACCGGTCAAAACCGACGGCTTGTGACACAATAACCGGTCTCTCGACACAAAAACTGCGGTTCACAGGGGTTGGAAAAAAAGATATTCGCTGAGATTGGCGGTTATTCTAGAAAGGGAGCGATTCATTCCGTGGGTTTTCAGTGAATAATCGGTTAAAACCTCCGATTCACCGATGCTCCACCGGCGAGAACCGACCTGATATCCACATGAACCAGCATGAACCGTGTATTATTCAATTTCCACTGGATTCTTGTCAGTGGAAATTGAAATTTTAAGTTCAACTAGTGGAGAATAAAATTTTAATCTCCACTATAGTGGGATTTCAAAAACCACTAGGCAAAAATGACTAACACTCATATTTCAATCTCCACTATAGTGGAAATTATAATTTGACTGACATGATGCTGGTAATAAAAGGAATACCCTTTTTTTATTGAAAATATTATTAACAATCACAAATATTTTTTGAGATCCGTCCACGTTTTCTTTAA